TTCTCATTTGGGTTCTCGACTTGTTATGGATTGAGTCTGTTGTCGTGAATTGTTTCACGGTGTACTGGACACAACAAGTGAGACATTTGGTTTGGTTGATGTCGGCTCAGTTTTGAGAAAACTTCACCGAGGTGGAGAATTGTGAATGCGTGAGGAGATGTGAAGATAAAGATGTGGTGGGGGCCACAAAACGTGTGAGGAAGCATTGGAAAGCCAGCTGATGTTTGCTAAGAAGTCTAGCAGAGCCCACAATGTGATCCACGTTCTCAATCAACCGCGTGAAGAGATAGTAGCGGAGCCCACGTCATTACTAATTCCAGAAGCTATAAATAGCTTACCTAGGTTTTGTGAAAAAGGAGCGCAGGAGGTTGATTGTTGCTTTTTTCTTTGTGCGGCTGCGGAACAGTGCTTGGAGGCGTGTGCAAACCGAGGGGAAAAATATGTTCTCTTTTGGCGGCTAGGTGCAGAGAAGAAAAGGCAGGCTGTAGCAAGGGTTTGTGTATCCCCTTTGAGAGAGATTTTGTGAGAGATTAGAGAGTTAGTTTGAGGGTTTATTTTGTGAGATTGTAAACCTATTGTATTTTCTCTCTAATAGTAGATCTCCCCCTCCTTGCCCCGTGGACGTAGGCAGTTTGCCGAACCACGTAAAATTGATTGTTTGAGTTTGTGGCCATTGTAATAGCTTTTTAGGATCCCTCGACAGGTCAGTCCTAGAACTGATGAGAGGAAGAGCCGATATCTCACTTGGTTGAGATATCCGCTTCAGATTCTTGTCTCCTTGGTGAGACGGGAATTCTTATCGATCTTTCTCTCTTATTGTGCACCAGAAACTCTGCCGAAATTTCCGCTGCGCACAACAGAAAATATTTGTAAATTTTGATAAGCAAGTTATTTTTGATTTGATAAGTGATTCTCGATGTTTTTAAATCCTCAAAAGTCCATTATGGAGTGTTCTGCCTGTCATATGGTAAATGCACATTTATTTAGCCATTGTGTATTCGTCCCTTCTGTATTTGACCCTTCTATAATTGGCCATTATGAAATTTGTTCTGGCCCCTCTGTATTTGGCAAGTAACCTATAGGAGTGATAGGTGCATTCGATTCCCTGTGAATTATCTGTTATGTAATGCGTTTTACGCATTCCCATGCTACTGGGCTATAATTTGTAGCCTTAGTGTGACCTATGGGGTGATTTTCACATTCACGAATGACTCATTGAGATTTAAGATTCTGACAGTTGACTGTGAAATAGAGAAAATAACAAACCTTTGGTTCTTGCACAAATTTAATATTTCATTTCTTTCTTAGTATTTACCTTGTTGTAAAAAGGGGTCTGATTTTGAAATATATTACAATGTATTTAGTTTGCAAATGAGAAAGAAATATAAACTGTTACATTCTTCCATAAAATATCAATAGTATGTTGTTTGAACCATACTTGCATTTTTGTTATTTCTGGTGCAAAACTTATAATTCGTTATTTCTGGGAGTTATTCTTATTATTTTGTTAGTTATCTAGGAACTCTAGGAGAAATGTTCTCACTGAGCTCTAGCTCATCCCGTTGTTTTTAAATTTTCAGATCTGGTGTAGCTACATAATAGCCGAACTTTTGGTTATGACGCTTTGCTGAGAGGCGTTATATGGAAAGCCTCCTTTTTGATGTTACATATAGTCAACAATGTGCTTTATTTAGTAGAATGCTTATAATGGTGAGCTTGTGGGTTGTAAGTACTGACTATATACATATATATAGTTGCTCTGAACTTCTGTCATCAACAGGTTTATAATTTTTTTTTTGAGATGAACTATGTGATATGAAGTGCCATGCTTGACTCGTGCATGAGACTTGTCTTTTGCATGGGTCGCTGCTGTTGCGTAACCTGTATTTATGAATTTCCACTGCAGTTTCGAGGCGTGACAATACGTATTCAATTAATCAATATACATATGTGTATATACAGAGAGGTTACAAGAGATGTAAAATATCAATCAAATCTCTACAGATATTATCAAGTATCTAACTGAATCTCTACAAGTATTAGTATCAAATAATATCTTCAATAAACATGTAATTGAATCCATCTCCACATAAGAAGACTAAATTGCCATATAGATTATCTTAAACTTTTTGCATACATAAACTGCTTTCTGGAATAATTGATGTGCATACTTCTATAATCATGGCCTCTTAAGAACCACTCCTTCTTAAGAATCTTCATCATTGCTTGACATATCTTTGCATTACGTTGAAAACGCCCTAAAACTCTAGAAAACTAAAAAAACACCCTCAGAAATTTCAAAATTGTAGAAAGCGCCCTAGAAATTTAAAAAATACAAATATATGTTGAAAATTTCAAAAATTTCAAAAATTATATTGAAAACAAAGAATTTGCAAAGATTCCCATGAAAATTTTTAATTCTGAAGGTGTTCTTCATAACCTTCTAAACTTCTAGGGTATTTTTTTGGAATTTCAAATTTATAGATTTTTGATGTGTGCCTTCGATTTTTTAGGGTGTTTTTTATAATTTGAATTTTTAGGGGTTTTTCGAATTTTTAAAATTTTAGGATATTTTCTATAAATTCTAAATTTTTTGGGTGTTGTTTATAATTCCTATATTTCACTGTATTTTTAGTAGGTTTAAAATTCTCATGGTGATTCTTTGTAAATTTTGAGTTTTGAGTGTTTTTTACAAAATTTGAAAACTTTTAGGGTGTTTCTACAAATTATAAATTGTTTAGGCTATTTATAATTTCTATATTTTCAGTTTGCTGTTAGGTTTGAAATTCTCATGGTGTTGTCTATTTTTAATTTTGAGGGTCTTTTGCAATTTTTGAAGCTTTCAATATATTTTTTGTAAATTATGAATTATTTAGGAGATGTTTGTAATTTAGATATTTTCAAAATGCTATTAGGTATGTAATTCTAAGGTTTTTTGGTAAGTTTTGAATATTTAAGGTTTTTTACAATTTAAAATCTTTAATGCATTTCCTGCAAATTCCGTAATTTTTTAGGGACTGTTTGTACTTACTAGATTTAGTGTACATTTTAGGAAGTTTTTTATAAATTTTGAATTTTTAGGGTTGTTTTACAATTTTTATTTTAAGGGGTGTTTTTGCAAGTCTTGAGTATTTGCAAAATTTTTAAAATTTTTGAATTTTTGCAAGTTTGGATACTTTTTTTTATAAATTTCGAAATTTTATGCGTGTTTCTGTAAGTTTTGAATTTTTAGGACAATTAGGTTTAAAGTTTGAAGCTATTCATGTGGGTTAATTAGAATATTTAAAATTATAATTTACATGGAATTAGAATAATTAGGATATATTAGGATTATAAAATATAATACCTAAAAATGTTAATGGTAATATTGAATATAGAATTTTTTTTTCCAATCTCACGCTTGAGAGGGAGTATGATATACCTTTTTAGTTTTTTTTTTCAGAGCATTTATATACTCTGAGTTGTTTAATATTAGCACTTTAGTACCTTATGTTATGCAAACATGAAAACTTTCATCCAAAAGTTCTCTTATAACATTCATATGCTAATTTAAATAACTTTCTAACTATTAATTCGCTAAACTTACTATTAAATCTATACAAATTTTATTTTAAAAAAATAGAATCAGAATATATTTAGATCAGAATCTATGTAGGATTAATAGTAAATTTAACAAATATTAATGACTAAAAAACTCTAAAATTAATATATGAATGTTATATGGATACTCTAGTGTGAATTTTTTTTATATTTATACATAACAGAGAACACTAAAATATCAATTTTAAAAAAATTCATGGTATATAAATGCTCGGAAAAACAAATGAGGGCACGTGAACGGTAAACGAGTATAAACGTTAGGTATTTCAGGGCAATTCTGCCTAGAATTCACGAAAAGGCGATGATGCACCCAAAGTTCCAATTTCACGGGCCCATAACACCCAATGGGCCATTACTTAAAATATGGACCAAGGGCTCCAGAATATATAAGAACCCATACCCGTGAACCCTCAGCTCTCTGTAATGACTCGACGACGCCGCCGTCTTCTTCCTCCTCCTCCCCCTCCTCCTCCATCGAGCTCGGATCTCTAGAGATCACATGAGATGGCGAAAACATCTCCTCCCCTCCCGCTCCCCCGCCATCTTCCGCCGCCGTCGCACGCCCTCCATCAGAAGCTCCCTCCCCGCGACCTCTCTTCTCTCCTCCCATGCATCCTCTCCCTACCTCCCGAACCCTACCCCCCTCCTGCCGCTCCCCGCCTCCCTCGACCTCCTCCCCTCCCCTCACGTGAAACCCCCACGTCATCTCCTCCGCCTCTCCTCCCTTATATATTTCTTCCCCGTGCTTCCGTCTATGCCCTGATTCTACTTTCTCTCTCTTCGCGTCTCCTTTTCTTTTTTTCTTCTCTCTCTTTTTCTATTTTTTATACTCTGCTGTCATCTCTTCTCTCCCCTCCCTTCCCCAGTCCCTCGCCCCTTGCGTCTGGGCCTCCTCCCGCAGGCGCCTCGCTCGTGCCTCCTCGACTTCTTCGTCTTCTCCCTCCTCTCTGACCCCCGCGACCTCGCCTCCTCCCTCTTCCCTCCTCCGGGGAATCGGACTCAGCCGGCCCCGTCCCGCCCCTCGTCTTCGTGCCCTGCCAGTCCGCGGGCCCACTCGGCCCTCGGGAGCCCGAGGAAGGCCCTCGACGCGTGGCCGCACCGGCATGCCGAGTTCGGCTACCCGGCCCACACTTCGCTACAAACACCGTCCTCACCTCCTGGTGAGGAAGACGTGATCTTCTCGGCTCTGCGGCTGGTGTATACAGGATGCTGAAGCTCGATGGCAGGCCGAAACGGCGCGACCTTCTGCATCTTGATTGGGGCGGCACTCTGCAAGCCGCGGCTGTGATGATGTCAGGAGCTGTTTGGGAGCGAAATGCAGCAGGGCGGCAGTCTGGCCCCCGAACGCCCATGGTTTACACCCTGATCTTGTCGCCCTGCTCGTAAGGGGTGAGGGTCGGATGAGGCCGGAGAAGTTGCTCGCCTCCCTGTTTCGATGGGGGGGTGGTAAGGAGCTTGGCTGCGGGCCGGATTTTGTCTCTTGGACGCTGCGCTGAGCGGGTACTGCAAGCTGGGGAGGGTTGATGATGCTCTTAAGCAGTTGAAGGGGTTTAGGGAAGAGGGTTTTGTTCTCGGACTGAATGGGTATAGCTCGTTGATCGATGGGCTGTTTCGAGCTAGGAGGTTTGGGGAGGCTCGCAGGCTTTATGATGAGATGCTGGAGGAGAATGTGATGCCCGATTGTGTTCTCTACACGATTATGATTCGAGGGCATTCGGAGGTAGGGAGAGTCGAGGAGGCGTTGGCTTTCTTGAGAGAGATGACAGGTAGAGGCATCGTGCCCGATACATATTGCTATAACACTCTTATCAAGGGCCTTTGTGATGCGGGTCATTTGGATGAAGCTCGGTCTCTTAGGCTTGAGATTTCTCAGCATGATCTCTTCCCTGACTCGGCGACATACACTATTATGATTTGTGGGTTGTGCAAAGAGGGGCTTGTTCTTGAGGCTCGACAGATTTTTGATGAGATGGGGAAGCTCGGATGTGATCCTAGTGTTCATACATTCAATGCTCTCATAAGCGGACTTTGCAAAGCCGGGAAGTTAGAAGAAGCTCACTCCATTTTCAATAAGATGAACATAAAACCTTCGCTTTTTCTTCGACTTTCTCAAAATGTTGATCGTGTTAAGGATCCTGGCCATCTTCGTAAACTGGTTGAGGAATTGTGTGAGGCTGGGCTTGTTGTTAAGGCTTATAAGCTTCTTCGAGATGTTATGGGTGTTGTTCCTGATGTTTTTACTTATAATATATTGATGAATGGATTTTTCAAAGAAGGGAAGCCTGACGAGGCGCTGAGGCTTTTCAATGAGCTCCGGATTATGAATCATAATTCTCCGGTTGATTTAGTGACTTTGGGTACGCTTATAGATGGGCTCTCGAAGGCCAATAGAGAAAATGATGCACATATGTTGTATGAGCAGCTAATTTTGAAAGCTGGACGCTCGCCTAGCTCTTCAATCTGTAATACTCTTATGAGAACATTTTGCAGGAAGAAGAGAGTAGCAAAAGCTGTCTCTCTCTGGTTTACCCACATCACAGAATGGACCACCAAAGCTGAGGACAAAGAAACCATCGAATTGTTGAAGCATCACTTTGAGCAAGGGTGCATCGAAGAGGCAGTCAGAGGATTAATTGAGATGGATCAGAAAAACAACTCTACCAATTCTTTCCCTTATACCATTTGGCTTATTGGGTTTTGCCAAGCACGGAAAGTTGAAGAAGCTCTTAAGGTTTTTACTATTCTCACGGAGTTTGACATTGAGCTTACTCCACCGAGCTGTGTCATCCTTATTCATAGCTTATGTTGGGAAGGGGAGTTAGCTTCGGCGTTGGATGTCATGCTCTATGCGTTGAGGAAAGGCTTCTCACTCGATCAGCCTGTGGGCAACCGATTGCTGAAGAAACTTCTCATGGGTAACAAGAAAGAGGAAGCACACAAGCTTGTGGTGAAAATGGGTCTTGCTGGATATGATATGGATATTTATCTTCGAGCTGAAACAAAAAAGTTGCTATATAATAAAGTCGCTCGTGTATCTAGTGTAAGCTGAATATTCTTTTCTTTTTTTTTGGCAGTGCTGCTGTTTATGTAGAGTACCCATTTTTGAAGTAACAAAACGCCACAATGTTTTTTATTGGTTGTTTTTGTGGGTTTGTGAAACCTACATAATGTTTTGTAACATTGTATAAATCTAATGGGAAGTAGGTTTTTTGTCAAAATTCTGTATTGTAATACTTATTAGAAGATCATTGTTTGAGTCCTGATGTATTCTAAATGAAATGATTCAAGATTTTCTTTTTGAAAGATTATTTATGAGCATCGGCAATGCTTTACCAACGACTAGAAACATATACAGGAGAGTACCTAAATGCAAGTATTAGGTTAATTCATTGAGTTTGATGAAATCATTTCATAGAGATATGCTACTCACTAAAACTATGTTGCTTGGTAAAGTTATATTCATGTCTCCATTTGCTGTCAGTCTCATCATCATCATGAGTCTAGTATGTAACATGATCCAAGCGTCTTAGTTCTGCCATAAAACCCAAAGTCTTTTTTCTGTATATACCATCCATCAGTTTTTCTTTTCATTTTCCCCTTCCCTTATACCCTCACGGTCTTTTTCTTTGCAATCCTCAGAGTAGATACCTGAGGTTATCAAGGCTCCGGCTCTTCCAGCTAATTTTAGCTCGAGGAAGCTCAAGTAAGAGAACTTCTGTCGAATATGGTGACATTGAGCATTCCAATCATCTTTTACATCAATCTTAAAACTCCTACAGGACACTGCAGAGTCGAAGGTCTTTCGGAGGCTTATTTCAAGGCAACACGGAGAGTCGGCCAGCTTGCCAGAGTGAGCAAGCTTTCCCATGGCGAGGACATCTTTGAGGCTGACTCCTAGTGCTATCGACTCGTCCAAGCTCTCATGTATGAGAAGAACACCTTAAACTTTTATCTCTATTCTTAGATTCTTCCAAATCAAGCTTTGGATCGTGTGTAGTTAAGCTTATAATCCTTCTTAAGCATGATAATGAGAATATTAGTGTGCAGATGGCTTTGATAACCTTGTTTCGTGATGCAAACATAGGAACCATCATATCTCTGGCTTCTTGTTAGTAATATCTGGCTTGTGTTTTCTGTTTCCATGCTTAATTCCTTTTGTTTCAGGGTATCGATGATTCTAGGACATTTTTTCAGCTGGATTGGCTTTGTAAGGTGAGATCCTACCTTTTCCAATGCTTGTATTTCGAATTATTTTCTTGGTCTCTCTGTTTTTCCCCCCTCTTGATACCTTAGTTTGGCAGTAAGGGTTCAATAAATGTCCTCTTTTGATCATTTAACGCCTCTGTGTTTGGTGAATGTCTTGTTCTTATTTTTACTGCTTTCTTTGGACATTTTTATGATATTATTGTTTGGGTGAGTTTGAAGGTGTTCATCTTTTTAAGTAGAATGAATATGTTGTACTTAATACTCTGTGTTGCGCGCCTTTGCGGAAGCGTGCTCGCACACCGAACGAGTTCGTGAGACACGGGAGAAAATTAACAAACCCAACACGGATACAATCCAACAAATAATGACAAGCAAATCACAAACATAGATATTTTACATGGTTCGGCAATTTGCCTACGTCCACGGGAGCGGCACAATTAATTTCTTATTAATCACAAGAAAATTACAAATAAGAGAGAAGATCTCAAGCTTGAGATCTCTCAACCAAATAACAGTGTTTTAACTTAAAACACTGTTCAAACTCTCTCTTAATAACTCAAACTCCCCAATAAATACACCAACCCTTTCTCCTCAATTAATGAGAGCAAGGGACAAAGGGGGATCCAAATGGGAGAGAGAAAAAAATTACAGAAAGGGGAAAACACACGACAGGCGAGTTCGACGCCTACAGGCTAAACCGACTTCGCCTGTACCTGCCCTCAAAGTCGTCCGTCCACAACTCGCCTACAGGCGAGCTCGATCTCGCCTCCTGTCCACAAATCCGGTTGCACGTGCTCGCCCGTCTGCTCGCCTTCGTCTGCAGGCGAGTTTGATCTCGCCTGCTCGAATTCGCCCGCAGGTAAGTTCTTCAATTCTCCACCTCGTTCATCATTTGATAAACATTAAATTTTGGACGAACACCAGAAGAACCCCACTAATGCCAAACCAGGCCCAAAACAGCTGAACCATTATACTATGGCTGTCTACGTACCCTCTGACTGGGATCAAGGTAATCGTAGTTCTACCAAATGGCCGCCAACGGCCTCAACAATCAGAAATGTGCAACACGTTTCGACAATGATCAAACTTGTTGCTCGGAACCACCTTTGTGAGCATATTCGCCGGATTATCCTTCGTGTGGATCTTCACTATCTCCACATCTCCATCTTCAAGAACATCCCGAACGAAGTGATAACGAACGTCAATGTGCTTCGTCCTCGAATGAAAAACCTGATTCTTCGTCAAATAGATAGCACTCATGCTATCACAATGAATAGTGACGAACTGCTGCGATATACCAAGTTCCTCCAAAAGTCCTCGAAGCCAAATAGCCTCCTTAACAGCCTTCGTAATTGCCATATACTCTGTCTCCATCGTAGACAAGCCACCGTAGACTGTAAGGTGCATCTCCAATACACCGACGCACGGGTCAAAGTAAACACATACCCCGTTGTAGACCGGCGTTTATCCAAATCCCCGGCATAATCCGAATCTACATATCCAATACATAGCTGCCCACCTGCAGTGTACTGCTCATAAACCAAACCAACATTGAGCGTACCTCGAATGTACCTCAAAATCCATCTCACAGCGTCCCAATGACCCACTCCTGGATCGTGCATGTATCTTGAGACCATGCTAACCGCCTGTGACAAATCCGACCTCGTACATACCATCACGTATATCAAGCTTCCAACTGCGCTCGCATATGGAGTCTTCGACATTAACTCTCTATCTTTAACTGTCTTTGGTGAAAGATCAGCTGAAAGCTTCAAATGGGCTCCCAAAGGTATACTAACAGGCTTCGTTTCCATGCTAACGTTAAACCGCTGTAGAACCTTCTTCAGATAAGCTATCTGAGTCAAACAAATTCTACCCTTCTCTTTGTTTCTGCCGATCTCCATCCCGAAAATGCGCTTAGCCTCACCCAAATCCTTCATCTCAAACTCATTTGAAAGCTGTGCCTTCAACTCATCTATAGAAGACCTGGAAATAGAGGCAACCAACATGTCATCGACATAAAACAACAAATAGATGTACGCACCTCCTTTCAACTTGCGAAAATACACGCAAGGATCATAAAACCATCGAATCGCCTATACCACTGACGAGGAGACTGCTTCAAACCGTATAGCGATTTCTTTAACCTGCAAACCAGGTTTTCCTTTCCTGCAGCTCGGAATCCTAATGGCTGAGTCATATAAATTTCTTCATCAAGATCACCATGAAGAAATGCAGTTTTCACATCCAACTGATCCAACTCCAATCCATACTACGCCACCAAAGCTAGCAAAATCCAAATCGAAGAGTGCTTCACCACAGGAGAGAAAACCTCATTGTAGTCAATACCTTCTTTCTGTGCATAGCCCTTCGCAACCAACCTAGCTTTGAACCTCACTGGAGTGCCTTCAATGCCCTCCTTTTTCGTGTATACCCACTTGCAACCAATTGCCTTTCGCCCCTTTGGAATCTGAACAAGCTCCCATGTATCGTTCTTATGAAGAGACTCCATCTCCTCCTGCATAGCTACCAGCCACGATTCAGCCTCCGAACACTGCTCGGCCTCTCTGAATGTAGTAGGCACCAACTCATAGATACTCTCCACCGGAAGTGCATACGCAACTACTGTGTCGGTATACCGTGCTGGTGTCTGTATGTCTCTCCTCTGTCTCCGAACAGCAATCGAATCCTGAACCTGAGTCGTCGGTCCCTGATTCTGCACTTCTGTACCCGTATCCTCCTCGTCATCGCCGTGCTCGCCTGGCGTCACCTCAGTCGGCACTCTAATGGATACTGTACCATCTGGATAATGTAGAGCTGCATCGATCTCCACCATCTGCGATATCTCCTCCGTCGGGTCGCTCTCCACCTGATGAGAGCTCGGAAGCTTCAAGATAGAAGCCTTATCGAACGTGACGTCCCTACTCAGCACAATCTTCTTATCAACTGGATCCCATAGCTTGTATCCCTTGACACCACGCTTGAATCATATAAATATGGCCTTCCTAGCTCGAGGTTCCAATTTATCTATTCTTACATGATAAAATGCAAAATGCAGGGAACCCAAATACCTTGAGCTAGTCGTAGTCGTGTGCTGGCTTTCCCGACCACATCACCATAGGGGTCTTCCTCTCAATCGCAGATGAAGGCATCCTATTAATGAGGTGGCTCGCATATGATAGTGCCTCAGCCTAAAAGATCTTCTCCAAACCACTCTGGGACAATAAGCATCAGACCTTCTCCAGTAAAGACCGATTCAGCCTCTCTGTCACCCCATTTTACTGTAGTGTATGACTAACTGTGAAGTGTCTCTCTATGCCCTCGTCTCGACATAGCTGCTGAAAGGGGTCAGAAGTATACTCACCACCGTTGTCGGATCGCAACGTCTTGATCTTTCTCCCAGTCTGCAATTCCAATCTCTTCTTTCACTCCACAAACAAATCTAGGACTTCGCTCTTCTTCGTCATGGTGTACACCCAACAACGTCTAGAATAGTCATCTACAAAAGTGATGAACCAATATCTACCACTAAGTGATGCAGTCTTGGTGGGACCCCAAACGTCTGTGTGCACGTAGTCCAGGATGCCCCTTGTCCTATGGATGGCAGTTCCGAACTTCACCTTCGTCTTCTTGCCAAGAACACAGTGCTCACAGAACTCAATCTTTTCACTCTTGGCTCCCTTCAATAGCCCTTGCTTGCATAAAGCATGCAGTGACTTTTCACCTGTGTGCCCAATCTGTAATGCCAAAGTCTACTCATGTCCGCATCTGAAATAGCTGAAGCTACCTGGCCAATCTCGGTGCTCCCCTTCAGATAATATAAGTTTTAATTACGGACTCCCTTCATCACCACCAACGATCCCTTAGTAACCATTGCTACAGCATTCTCAAAGGTCACCTTGAATCCCTTCGCCTCCAAAGCTCCAACTGAGATAAGATTCTTCTTCAGCTAAGGAACGAATCTCACCTCTTTTAACTTACGAACTACTCCATTGTGCATCCGAATCCGCACGGTACCTATCCCACAAATGCCACAGGATTGATCATTTC